CAAAGCCTGCCAGCAAGGGAGCTAAGAAGGCCGCCAGCAAGGCGAAAGCTGCTCGCAGCACGGACAAGAAGCACAAGAGAAGGCGAAAGGAAAGCTACTTTATATACATATACAAAGTGCTGAAGCAGGTTCACCCGGACACGGGCATCAGCGGCAAAGCCATGTCAATAATGAATTCGTTCGTCAATGACATCTTTGAACGAATCGCAGCCGAAGCTTCTCGCCTCGCCCACTACAACAAGAGATCCACAATCACCAGCAGAGAAATCCAGACGGCCGTCAGGCTTCTGTTACCCGGCGAGTTGGCCAAGCACGCCGTCAGCGAAGGCACCAAGGCCGTCACCAAGTACACCAGCTCAAAGTAATCGACCACTGAAATAAAGACAAGACAAACGGCTCTTTTCAGAGCCACCCATTCTAACGATGATACGCTTGCCGGCTTAGCCAAACTATTTTTTTCATTCTTGAGTATATCTAAGTAAAAAACACGGGATGGCTGTGAGGAGTCCTTGAGTTATCGAGCCCAGCCGCCTTTTCAAAATACGATATATAATTGTCAGTTTCATATATATATATAAATTTCTAATATATTTCGGAACGAGGTTTTCTTTAATACAAACATCATTGAAGATATATGCCCATTTTGCATTAATGACTTTCTTTAATGAACACTCAACAAGTCTGAATTTATTAAACTCGTATTTATTTAAAACAATAGACATGGTAAGGCTAACAGCGCTGTTTCGGGAAGTCCATCTTCAGAGCCTATGAAAATAAGAATAGCATGAAATATTTTTATAAAATTAGAATGCATATTAAATGTGTAATAAAATTATTAAGAAAATAACGAGAAACCTTTGTTAGTGAAAACAATGCAAAACATGTACAAATTAAATTTATGGTTAAAAATATAAATGTATATAAAAAGTTAGTAAAATAGTATTAAATTAAATATTAAAACAAATAAATTAATACTGAAATTTATATATATATATATATAAATATATATATATATATATGTATATATATATATATATGTATATATATATATGTAAATATATAGGCTAAAAGGAGACCATAACTGATGCAATATTTAATAAAATCAACCAAATTTATAGTTTTTGAAGGTTTACGGTTGAGCTTTCAATACTTCTAACAGTAATTTTCTAATTTAACATCCCAATACACATACATATATATATATTATATATATATATATATATATATATTTATTTATTTATATGTGATAAAATTTACGAAAATTTGAGCTTTTGAGAGTTTACCCTCGAGCTTTCAATATTTCTAACAGTAATTTTATAATTTTTGTTTTAATCTTCTCGTTGGCAGGGCAGCAATTCCACAGTTTATTTTGATCTGTTAATTGTGATGTTCTAAATAACAATAACGGGTTAGCATGGAAAAAGATTTCAACTGGTTCAAAGATATAGTTTTTGTAATTCCAGCAAAAAATGATCAATACATAAACATAAAAGTTTTAAAGTTTTCAAATTTTGTCAAAACCTGTCACCGCTCCCTCAATAAAACTTCAATGCCCAAATGGAGGCGCTATCGCTCACTTTGAGAAACACTGCGTTAGACCGATGTAAACAAGCCAGATTATCCTTCAACATGTCACCGTGCATATCCAGCGAGTCCACTATCTGCGGTTTTAATAGATTCAGATCAACTTTTCTTTTTGCATATAAATTGTTTAAAAAATTTCGCATTTAGATATCAGCCAGAAATCTTTGGTAACGATAGGAGGAAACTTGTCCGTTTAATCATTATCAACAAGGAACAAAATCGTTTTAGCGAGATCATCCAAAGTTTGCCTTTTCGTTTTTATAGACGACGTCTGCGGTTTAAGCAACTGAATAAAAAGGGCCGCCGCTGCTTTCGACAACACTTCTTTACATTCTAAAATATCCGAAACTTCTCCAAAACAGCTTCTTGAACGTCTACGTCGTTGAAACAACACGAACCGCTCAATGAAAACACAAACAACTTTTTTATAATGAATTTATTGCCATTTGTAGAATAGAAATATTATTATTATTGTTGTTGTTGTTATTATTATTGTTATTTATTATTATTATTATTATTATATTAAATTTAGATTAAAAATCCGCAATTATTTCAAGACAAACTCAAATAATGAAATACATTGTCTTTGGCGTGAAACTGCGGTAGACTACAAAATGGTGGATAATTTGCTATTTGATTCAGCCACGTCATCTCAGTCTTTAAAAAACTAGAAGATGGTCGTATTGCTGCTTCCCTAAGTCACGTGGTCTTGCTTCAAGGTCAAGGTTCCCTAATCAAGTCGGTAACAAACGTATTATGATCTTCTCAAATAACAAACTGGTCTAAGAAACTCGATTTACTGCCAGATACTCTGTTTAAATTTGCTAGAAAATATTTAATTCAGCAACTGCCAACTAACGCTAATCTGTTTAGATGGGGTAAGACACTGAATCTCTTATGTCCTCTTTGTGGCGCTAAATAAACGAACAAATGTAGTTTCCTACTGTGGATCCGTAGTCGCGTTAAAACGATATACAGAAAGACATGATAGAATTTTATCAGAAATCATCAATTATTGATGTCATGCCGTTCATCGGATTGCCTGATATTTGCTGATATCGTAATGAACGGAGTCCTGCCAATGTCACAACTGTTCGTCAACCTACGTCCAGACATCGCCATTCTACAGGGCAAAAAAATTGAAGTCGTTGGGTTGACAGTGTGCCATGAAAACTAATCTAATTCATTCTAAAAATTACAAGCAATCGAAATACATTAATAATTTAAATTCATGTTTAACTTTTGATTATAAAAACTGATATTATTTTAAAAACATTTGAAATTACTCCGATCGGCTTTTTTAATATTTTAAATTTAATGTCTATCAAAATTTTATGGTCTAATACACTTATTGACAAATTGATCAACTCTGTAATCAAATCGACATACGCTATATATTGCGACAGAAACATTGTATGACCATTTTAAATTAGCCTCCTATTTGCACTTGCCAAATGATAATGAGTAATAGGGTTTTATCGTATACTTGATTATTTTTTATTAGTATTTTATCTGGATTTTTATTTGTATATATATTGAATATTGTATTATTCTGTATGTTTTATGATATTTGATTGAATAAAAGAAGTGTTCCCATTATTATTATTATGAGTGTTTGTTTGGCGCTTTTTAAAATCTTCTCAAAAACGCCATTAACTAAAATCATAAATTGTCCAGAGAAAATAAATAAGCTTTCAATACTTTTCGAGACATTGCTAGGGACCCGGCTCTCTAGCCGGATCACGTAAATGTTGTAGCAGACTATTTCAAATCATCAATCCCACAATAGCAACATTTCTTGATCCTATTTTCAATTTAGCAAAAAGAACTTTTAGCAGATCTAAGTCATCTGAACGCAATCCAAGTCGATGCATTGGAATATCCTTCTGAACAATTTTATCTTGAAAGTATTTGGGAGCCAGACCTTTCTTGCATTTATAAACTACAGCCGCAGTTCTGAATACAATTTTTCTTAAATTATAGCCAATGCAATTCACGCAAAATTGAAGCAACATGTTCAAACTTTGATGCACCTATTACAATCTTTGCAACCCGATTCTGTATTGATTGCAGCTGACTAGTAATCCAACTCTGAATGTACGAACGCATGTACTAGACGTTGTAAGATGTCCTTATTTAATGATTTCCAAACAAATCTCAATCCATGCAAATGATGATTTAACGTAATTTTGCATCAATTACTGCCCAAAATCACTACCAGATTGCGCACAAATTAGAGGTGAACGGAAATGGCTTTTTCATTCCAATTCCCTTTCGTTTCCATCAAAGCATTCCCGCTTCCCCCCATTTCTCACGAATTTTACCAACCAATTCCCATTTCCCTCCGTTCAACAACACGATTTTTTTCTTATAAAAATGTACACAAGACCAAAATAAGCAGTCAAAATTTTTTATTAAGAACCAAGTTATAACTAAACAATTAAATGTTGCTATGTAAAAATAACAAATTATTAACGCTGTTTGCTAATAATGTAGTTCTTTTCTCCAATATTCGACCTGCAATGCTGAAGACACGTTCACTAGCAGATGAAGTTGCTGGTATGCATAAAATTTGACAAGCTACGTCATAAAGTAAAGGATAGGCAAGTTTTTTTCTTTCCAAAATGTAACTTAGTCAGTATCTTTTTTAACTTTTAAGTTGAGATATTCTGATAATTTATTTCTATTATGGGTTAATTCATCTGGATCATGTATCTCTGTGAAATCAGCTATACCATCAAGTTTACAATTTCAAGAGTTAAAATATTAGAAAAATTTAAAAATATTGAAAGCCTTAAAATGACAACTTTTTCAATCATTTTTGAGATAGAAGAAATAATTGAAATTGGACGATAGTTATTCATGTCATGAGAATCACCTGATTTTAAAAAGTGGAATAACTTTAGTTATTTTAAGACAATTAGGAAATTTACCATATTTAAAAGACAAATCAATTAAGTGAAGAAAAAGAATATATATATTATTTAAAGTAGATTTTAGAATGAAATTTCAAATAAAGTCATCTCCATAACAGGTAGAATTGGAAAAATTATTTATAACATCATATAATATCATATGTATAGGGACATCCCTAAAAAAGAAGGAACTCTCGGTTTTCCAACTTTACGAACGTAGATAAGTATTAATTTAGTTTCAATCGATCAATCAATCAATTAGCTTATAAAGCGCTATTTCCGCGATGTTCAACAGCGCTCCTCAATGAATTTTGAAAACAGATGGGTCTTGAGATCCGCTCTGAACTTCGCAAGCGATGGAGAAATAGTTAGAGAAGTAGGCAGAGAGTTCCAGAGAAAAGGACCAGAAAAAGCAAAAGCAGATTTGGCAAAAGAGTGTTTAACACGAGTTAAGAAAAAGCGAGAAGAAGAAGACGATCGTAAACCGGGGCGTTTAGGTTCAATTAATATATCTGATAAGTACTTAGGAAATAATTTAGATTGAGACTTATACATGAACGTGCAAATTTTAAAAATTATTCTATATTTTATAGGTAGCCAGTGCAAGAGAACAAGATATGGAGATATATGAGAAAAGAAAGGGGCACGAGCAACTAGACGAGCAGCAGAGTTAAAAGCTTT